CTTTCACAGTCTGCTTTCTGTCTAGTTCAGTCACTTCCTCATGATGAGGAGCCTCGTTCCATCAGACACAACCTAGGACAGATGTGAGGAAGCTGTGTTGTAAACATGTTCTTTTATAACACTGTTCATGAAATGTTCCTCAACAGGAAATCATAGGTGTGATTACTTTTGTTGCTATGAATACAGGTAAACTGACTTTTGTTGTGTTGAGGTTGTCCTGTGGGGTCTGTATTTTCTGTGCAGTCTATCTGACCTGTTTGTTTTTAATAAACTAAAATACACTTAACTTTAAAATCATTGTAAAATAATTGTCCCAGAGGGGACTGTGTCTGTTTCTAGCACAGTGCTACATGCCCATTGATTTACACACAAACATCACAGAAACACAAGCTTTGACGCGATGTTACACAGTTGCTTAAATATGATTCATAAGTTCTATACAGCATATGGGTGTTCTCACTTTTGTCGTATACTGTTCATGTATTTTCTGTTTCTATTCCGTTCATTATCCAGCAACCAAGCAAACAGTGTCAGATGGTAATCCCTTAATATCCCGACTCTGTGTTGGGAATAGCTGCTCTGTGTGAATGAGCCACACTAGCACACACTAATATATAGACTCTTACAGAGGTTATTCAAAAGCTGTGTTTGTGTGTGTGTGTGTTTGTACACTCAGATGACAGCAAGGCATTGTGGGGCATCAACATCATGAAGAAAGCCAAGAAGACAGGAAGTCCAAAGGCGTTTGGTGTGCGACTGGAGGACTGTCAGCCCGCTGTCAACCATAAAGTAAAAACATTTAATGTTTTATAATGAACTACACTAACAACTACACTAACAACAATACACACATGATGACTCCAGTTGTTTGTAGAAAGAGAGACTCAACTAACAACATAAAGTAGTTGATGGGGGTCAAAGCTTGCTCATATTTATATGCTGTGTTTTGTACCAAGATACATTCACACTTGCATGTTTATTTCTGCGTCCGTTTCTCCTGCTCCTCATTAACCACACCTCTGGCCTCTGTCTGCAGTTTGTCCCCCTGACAGTGGAGATGTGCTGTGGCATGGTGGAGGCGACGGGTCTGGAGTACACCGGCATCTACCGGGTGCCTGGGAACAACGCCATGGTGTCCAACCTTCAGGAGCATCTCAACAAGGGCATGGACATCAACACTGCCGAGGAGGTGCGGAGGACAGAAACACGTTCGACCTGATTACCCAGTTTAAAGAAATGTATTGTCTCAGCTTGAGTTATAATGAACAAATGCTGAAGTT